ACGGAGATGCCATCAAAACCACAATGAGATACCACCTAACCCCAGTCAGAATAACTAAGGTTAACAACAACAACAACAAAAAGCTAAGTGCTGACGGGGATGTGGTGATAGGGGAATTCTCCTACACAGCTGGTGGGAATGTAAATTGGTCCAACCACTGTGGAGAACAATCTGGAGATTCCTCAAAGACCTACAAATAGAACTACCATATGATCCAGCAATCCCACTCCTAGGTATCTACCCAAAGGACAGGAGAATGCTTAGTTGGAAAAGTGCTTGCACATCTATGTTTATTGTCGCCAGTATTCACAATTGATAAGATATGGAACCAACCCAATGTCCATGAAAAGAAGAATGGATTGAAAATTGTGGCACATATATTCTATGGAATACTACTCCGCCATATAAAAACAAGACCCTGGCTTTTGATGGAAGATTTACTGCTGAGTGAAGTAAGCCAGGCTATGAAGAAGAGACACTGTATATCTCCACTTAGTATATACCGACTATCTGCACTCTATGGCTGAAACTAAAGATTAGAGGATATAGAAACATAGGAAATGGTTATAGATACTGAATACAGTGTGGAAAGAGGGTGGGAGGAGAGTGCGAGGAAAGACATTAAGGAGAAAAATAGACAGGCAAGACATTTATGGTGCACAGAAATGGATTACTGTCAGTTGATGATTATGTGTATAGTATCCCTAACTGGACTTGTGAAATGTATTTATATTGGAAAATTAATTTTATAAGATAAGTGATGTATAGTGATTGAATGTATAAAAGAAACTAAAAGAAAATAAAATATAAGAAAAAAAAAGGTGGGGCCTTTGGAAAGGGATTAAGATTAAGGTCATCAGGTCTACAATAGTGCAGATACTCTGTAAAATAGAATGGAACTGGTTTTCTAGGGGACCAGCAGATGGTGTAATAGTTGTGTCACTCAACTCCCACATAGTCAACTATGGTTCGAGTCCTGGACCTGGCAGCTTGGGACTCATGCCAGACATGTGTGCCCAAAATACTGAAAGGAGAATGAAAGAGAGGGAATTGTGGCATGGCCATCCCCCCCGGAGGGGGCGGGGGCTGATTTCTTGCTTTCTGTCTCCCTGTCTCTCTCTGTCTCTCTAGTGAGAACATGCGTCCTATGGCAAACATCTCTCACTTAAAAAATAAAAAAGGAATAGAACTGGTTTCTAGAAGACAATATGAAGGATCAACCTCATCACTTTTTCAAAATTTGTTGAGATTTCTTTTGCATCTGAATGTGTGGTCAATATGTTTCAATGTTTTATGTCTTTTTTCTTTTTTCTTTTTTTTTCTGTTTGTGGATTTAACAGCAGGCAGAACGGTGGTGTTGGGAGGGCCCTCAGAGTTCAGGGTGGGCAGCACAAAGTTGGTTCCAGCTAGTGACCAGAAATGTTGAGGGGCACCAGGGAATGTGGTGTGGGCAGGTTCTCTCACAGGGACTTGTTTGTCTGGCCCACTGAGGCCTACGGTCCCATCCCAGTGTCCTGGACCCCACCTAGGCCAGCCCTCATGGCTACTCCTCTCCTTCCTTCTGTTGGAGCTGGAGGGCGGGAGGAGGGTGGCTCAGGCCCCGGGGTCAGAGAGATAGCCTGCTTGGGCAGGGCCTGCAGTGATGCAGCGCTTGGTGTTTGAGGACCTTATCTTAGTTTGGGGACAGCAGCAGTGGTGGCTGGGGGAATGGGGAGGGTCCCCGCTCGGGGCCAGGAATGTAAGCTGACTGTGGTCCTGAAGTCCTCCCGACATGGGATCCTGCGGTGGGAAGGGAGAGTAGGACAGGCAGCTGGAGCAACTGAGGAGGTGGGGTGGCCTGCTGGCGCCAGGGCTCAGAGCTTGTGGGGGTTCACCCACTGGAGGTGCCATTGTACTGGAAACAGACCCTCTTCCTCAATCCTCTGCCTCCGTGGTAGATGTAGGGGAGCCTGGGGCTTCTCCAGCTCGATCTGGTGCAGCAGAGGAGTGAAGACCCGCCAGGCCTCCCGGAGCTCGTGGCTGCGCAGGAAGTGACAGAAGACATCCAGGATGGGGCGCCTACGGCAGCTTCACACGCTTGTATCCGTTGCCATGGTTCAGGCCGAGCTCTGGCTCCTCGGTTGAAGGCCATGTCAGGCTTCTTGGTCGTCACTGCAGTGTTCACGGCCTCCTTTCGCTTGCACTGCTGGTGGAAGAGGTCACCGGCCATGTCAGGGAACTGCAGCCGCATCTTGGCATTGCGCTCATTCAGGGCTTGGCGGCAGAGCGGGATGAAGAGCGCCGCATCCCACCGTAGAGCGCCACAACCGCAGAGGTGGCAGTGGGGACCACGGGGCACTGTGGGGTAGTCCAGGTGCCCCGTGGGGGCCTCGCCTTCTCCTCTGGGGTTCCCCATGTTCTGGGCCAGGACCTTTGTGTGTCTGCACCTTTGAGATGCATTTCAACACCTTGACCTTCTCGAGGACGTCGGAGTGAGCGGAGGCGGGCTTCTCCATGGCCACCAGACATGGCATCTGCAGAAGGTGCTTCTGCCTCACTTCCGGATGATCCCACATTCATCGAAGCAGCCCCACGGCCCTCGGCGCCGAAGGGCTCCTGGAAGGTGAGGATCACACAGGCTCTGCCGTCCCGGTTCTAGATGGGGCCTAAGATCCTGTTGGCAAACCTCAGCTCCACAAGGTTCTGGGCCGTCTCCTTGCCCAGCTAGATCTGGTCCTCGCGAAACCAGGCGGAGGTGTGGTTGGACAGCGGGTCAGAGCTCCGCAGGCCCCTGGTGAAGGGCTTCTCCACGACGTCGCGGGCCCAGCCTGTCTGGCTCATGCAGGCTTGTCGATGTTCTTGGTGACGACCTTATAGACGGTGGGGCGAAGCAGGAAAAAGCGGCGGTTGGCCTGAGGGCCCGGTGAAGGGCATCCATGCGTCTGTTGAGACGCTCATAGGAGACCACGTCACCACTCTGGCCAGCCACACATGAGTTGCGAGCAAAGAACTCTTCCGGTTGGGACTTTTCCTCCGGGTGGCTCGGAAAACAGGTCCATTCAGCTCGCAGATGTCGGCCACTGTGCGGCGGGAGCGGCCATCGCCCGCAGCGAAGGTGTGTTGGGGAGGAGGCCATCCCGGAGCAGCCACAGACGGTGGGGTCGATCCTCTTCTATCCCAGCTTGGCCAGGCCGCCCGAGGCGTCCGTGATGACAGATACATGCGTGCCCGCCTGGTGGAAGGCATCGCCCTGGCACAGCTCTTCCCGGGATCCCCCTGGGTCAGGCTCAGGGCCCTCTGCGGTGCCATGACGTTCTCTGCGCCTGGTTGCCGCAGCTTGCAGCGCTCGCAGCCCCAGCCCCAGAGCGCACACGATTTCCAGGGCCACGCGCCCATTTATCCCCGGGGGCGGCGGCTCGGCTGAGCTGACCCCCCTCAGGCGAGGGCGTGGGGCGCAGCCTCTCCAGCCCCTTGGTGCCGGGGTGCAGCCTCTCCAGCCCCTCGGTGCCGACCGAGCAAGAACATGTTTTACGCCATTTGAAGATAATGTACAATTAAACCATTTCTTGGGCTCTGGTCTCTCTCCACATACAACTTCCTTATCAAGAACAACTTGGTCGTTGAAATCCGTATCCATATCAAGTTAAGCTAGTTCATTGTCTGCAGGAATCCACTGTGGGGTTATTAATGTTCTTTTATTGCAACTGTCAGTTCTCGGTAAACAATCTGATTAACCAAAAAGCTCTTTCCCCAACACTGGATCATGAAAAAGCTTAGACGTACAGAAACCTTGAGAGAATTTTACAGTAAATCTAGGTGAATCCATTTCACATAGATTCACCAGTAATATTGCGAGTTTGGGGGTGATCTCTGCAGGGGTTCTGCAGGGGTTCTGCTGGTGGTGCCAGCCCCTCTGTCTCAGGTCTGGTGAGGAAAGGCCGACTTGGTGTTTTCTGTGGAGGGAGACAAAGGACCCAAGGCCAGTTCTGAAAGACAGATGTCATTAATGCTCCTCTTTCCACCGTCACTCCTAGGGTCTGAGGTGTTCCTTTCTCAATTTATGCTGAGTTTTTCTTTTATGTCACTGCCGTAAAATCTGTGTGTATTGTTCCAGTAGCCATAACTTCATCTTTCTTTCTCCAGTCATCTCCTTTTTTCACTCAGATCTTCCATCTGCAAGTATCAGACACAAGTGGGGCAAAAACAAGTTCATAAAACATAGCCAGAATTAAATCAGAATCCCCTGGGCACCCTGGAAACTCTGCCCACCAGGCTGGGAAGGGAAAGAATTAGCAATATCTCCAGGAAGGGGCAGGAGAGAAACCTGAATTTTCAAAGCAGGTCTTTGTAACACCTGTAGCCTCCCACCTCTTTCATCTCAGTTACTACCCAGGGGATCCCTTCAGTGGGCAAACAGCCTCAGTGAGGTGTGGACAGGAGACAGAGGACACAATTGGAAAATCAGTGCATTGTCAAGTAACTTTTTAGATAAAGGGCACATTGGTTGTCAGACTGCAAATGGTCCCAATACCCAGTTCATTACACGGATGGTTTTCTAGGGGCTCAGGGGTGTGGCTCCCCCACTATGAGATAGCAGGAGTCACAACTAGCAGGAGCCTCTGCACCAGACACCCAGTGTCGGCCCCATTCACAGAGGTCAGGCTCTACTCGGCATTTCGGTGAGTGTCCTGCTGGGTTGATCAGCAGCCACAGTTTATTTCCACAGTTTGTGGCCTCCAGAGAAGGGTGTCATCCTTAATCTACCAGCCTGTAGTTTTCTACACAGCAGATCAGACATCTAGGTCATCTGGGCAAAAGCCCAAACATCTGTCCACTGAAATGAGAGACCACGTCCACTTTCAGTGGCTGGCTCTGAGAATAAACAGCCACAGCAGCCCAGGGGTATAAATGTCCAACATTTAAAACAAAAAAAAAGTACCTGAATGGTACCTACGTATAAGGTTGGAGAACCATATCTGTAGTTTACAATGATTGACTTTATTCTCTTTCATTTGAAGGAAAAAAGAGAGGGCATTTATGGACAAGAAAAAAAACGAAAGGTAAGAGAAACATATATTAAAAGGGAAGCAGGCAAAGTGAGGTAGTTACACCTTTTGAGTTTAATAAGGCACTGCTCATTGTATTCTTGGGTCCTGCACTATCCTGAGGGCCAAGATAGTTTTGTAGGCACTGTATCAGTTAGAAAATTGGCTAAGATGCTGTAACAAAAAGGCCTGGAAATCCAACAGTTTAAATGAAATGGTTTATTTCTCATGCATGTAATACCCCAGAGTTAAATTATCCAGACTTAACAGAAAAACATTGTCATCCTTGGTATGTATCTTTCTTTCCTAGACTGAGAAATTTCTTTTTTTTTCCTTTCTTTTTTTTTTTAAAGATTTTACCAGAAAGCGCGTACTCTCACTAGAGAGATAGAAAGAGAAAGTGAGAAACCATTCCCATGGAGGAAGGTCACACTGCGATCCTTCTCCTCCATTTCTCCCTCATATGTGTATATGTGTGTGTGACATATTATATATAAATTATAATCAGACTTATGAAATCACATTAATTTTAGTTATACTCAGACCTGTGAAATCTTGTTCATTTTAGTAACAATCTAAAGAATTCTTTTCTCTCAGACAATGAAGGCTAAACCTTCTTTCCCGAATAATCATTTGGAAACTTGAATCAGTAACTCAATATAATACTTTAGAGTCCTATTAAAATTATTAATTTTCACCAATCTATACATCTTATGCTCTTGCTGATTTACATGGCTATTCTGTTGGTGCACATTTAAGTTTGGGAAGAAAAATACATGGTTATATCCATTTTAAGAAGGGCTATTTTCAAATCCTTAATTTAGTTACTAGTCAATTTGAGAGCACTGCAGTCTAAAAACAGAATCGCTTGGAATTAAGTATTAAATTATATTTATATCACAGATTTTATCTGCGTAAGGTCCAACGTTTTTTTCTCTGAGTGTCTACAGAGTTTCCTACGTATCCCTATGCTTTCACAGGGGTCACCCCAGCAAGAAAAGGAGGCACAAGCAAAGACGAACTGAGACAGAGGAAGAAATCTTCTCTTTCAAGAAAGCTCAGAGATGAAACCATGGATTTTAAAGCTCCTTTACTTCCTGTGACCTGTGGTGAGGTGAAGGGAATTTTATATAAAAGCAAATTAAAACGAGGTGGGTTTCATGGTTTTCTTCAATTTGCAACTGCCTTCTGAAGGAATCCTAAGAATTGTCACAATTTAGACATTGTATAAGGAGTTGAAGTCCCCATTTGGCTTGAGAGGAGGAAGATGGGGGTCCCTGAGATGTTATTTGCACACTAGGTGCTCACTCCCACATGGAGGTGTTCTTGGGGTGCCCAAAGAACCAAAGAGATGTGTAAGAATTTCAATCTGTGGGTGGAAACTACTGCATGTTGTTCTTTGAATAAGACATACAAGTTCCTCAGCCCCTGCTGTCATAGCGTCTGTCCCTTCTATATCATCATTGCCAGAGCAGGGCACTTAACTCAACGAGAGTTCCAGCCTCAGCTATATCCAGGGTGACTGCTTCATCTTGAGTAGAAGAGACCTTTCTGAGCTTGAAATTTCTCACAATAATGACATTTGTCTCATGACATGGCTGTGGGGATTCATTTACATAAATAAGGTAGCCTGTTGTGATTATCAGTTCTAAAGCTTTGGGGAAATAATGTCAACTGTGGTGGACTCCATCCAGACTGCTCCTCCTGTGGCTCTCTGTGTGCCAAGTGACAGAACCATTTGCCTTGTAATTATTTTTTAAACAGCTGTACTGAGAACTAGCTCACCATCATACAATGCACCATTTCTAGGGCACAAACCAATGTACAAAGGGTACAATCAATGTAGATTCACAGACCTGTATGGCCATCACCACAACCTAATGAGAAAACCTTTTGTCCCCATGAAAGAAAACCCATGTTCATTGGGAGACAATGCTCATTCTCACCTCACCCCACCTCCCAGCATTAGGCAACTGCTAATCTATTTCCTGCCCTATAAACTCACCTGTGTTAGGCATTTCAAAGAAATGGAACCCTGTAAAGTATACCTTTCTGCGGCTGGCTTCCTTTCACTTAGCATTATGTTCTCAAGGATCATTCATGTAACAGCATCAATTCATAGTTCATTCTGTTTTATTGTCAAATAATATACTATTCCATTGTATGGATTCAAAGTACCCCATTTTGTTTATCCATTTGTTAATTTGTTTTTTATAAAATTCTTTGGCTATTATTATTTTTAAGAATTATTTATTTAATTTTATTTATTTTAATTTGATGATAGATGCAGAAAGAGAGAGAGGAAAAGTGAGAAAGCAAGCCACCAGGTCCGGGACTTGAACCATGGTACCATGGTTGGCCATGTGGGAGTGTCCAGCGCTTTAACCACCATGCCAACTACTGACCCCTCTTTGGCTATTACTAATAACACTGTCTTGAACATTCATGTTCAAGTTTTGTGTTGGCCTGTTTTCAGTTTTGAGGAGTACATAACGAAGAATGGAATTCCATGTTTTTTTTTTTTTTTGAATTCCATGTTTAACTTGAGAAACCACCAGACTGTTCTCCACGGCAGGCACACTTTTATATTTCCACTAGTAGTGAATGTGTGCTCCAGTTTCTCTACGTGCTTGCCAACACTGGTTATTGTCTGTCTTTTTATTATGGCTACATTTATGGGTGTGAAGTGGCTTTTCGTTGTAGCTTAATTTACATTTCTCCATGACTACTGATGTTGAGCATAGGACTATCATTTTCATATAAAACATTATTCACTGGGTAACATTTCAGTTACTTTTTAATATTGGCTTCCCATGATTTTAGGAAAAATTTCTGCTTGATTGTGCCATTGAACTGGATGGAAAATATTTCAATAGAGGGTACAGATGTTGCCATGGAAACCTCTTAAGCCTTAAAATACAATCAACAACCTCAATCTGAGCATGAAGATTCTGCCTTCATGTTATCTCCAGGGCCACCTAGAGAATCTGACCTATTCTCTATCCTCAGAATTCAATAGCAAATTGTGGGACCAGCAGATAGCATAATGATTACATTGCTGGACTCTCACCAAGTTGACTGCAGCCTGAGTCTCCAACCTGGCAGCTTAAACTCACCCGGGCATGTGTGAGTGTGTGGCCAAGATCCTGGGAGGAGAATGGAGGAGAAGGCATTGAGGTGTGCCATCCCCCCTGGGGGTGATTTCTTGCTTTCTATCTCTCTGTCTCTTTGTCTTTCTGGTGAGTACACACACCCTATAGCAAAAAACTCTCAAAAAGAAAAACTTCAATAGCAAATTGAAATCCTCTCATCCTTGAAAATGGCCTGCTTTTCCTTTTTTAGATGATCTTGGGATACTTTTTTTTTTTTTTGAGAGGTTTTTTCTATAGGGCGTGGTCGCGCCCTGAAAAGAGAGGTTTTTGCTATAGGGCGTGTGCGCTCCCTGAAAGACAGAGAGAGACAGAGAGACAGAAAGCAAGAAATCACCCCCTGGGGGGTTGGCCATGCCACAATCCCTTCTCCTCCATTCTCCTCTTGGGATCTTGGGCACTCACACACACGCACCCGGCGTGAGTCTAAGCCACTAGGTCCGGGATTTGAACCGTGGTCGACTACATGGGAGTCCAGCGACGTAGCCATTATGCCATCTGTTGGTCCTGATCTTCAAATACTTTTAAAAGGTTGCTTTTGATGATAATTATCCCCTTTTTCATGCACTTAAGGTCAAAGAAAAGTGTACCCACATCAGAAAGATGTGGACAGTGAAAAGTGCACACACAGATCTCCTTTGAGGGGACTTTGGGGTTGAGTTTGGGTCCCCTGATGTCTGAGAGAGAAGCTCAGATTCTCCTGGTATTGATCCTGAGCCAAGTTTGGGTGGCCTCAGGGCCAATACTATAGGAGGCCACAGTCTGAACTCTGGGGACGAAAGTCTCAAGGTCAACTTACTCTGATCTCACAGGAATCCACATGCAGTGTATAAAGACTGAGGATGGAGACTGGTTCACTCTCAGGGAATTTGAAATCATAGGAGGCTATGAAAGATCAAAGAACTGGAAGCTGAGCGTGCGCTGCGGCGGACACCAACTATTTTGGCTATTTCAGGTAACCCAATGGCAAGAGGCAGAAGAGGAGCCACTCCTTATTGCACTCTTATATCAAGGTCACTATTTATTCACCAAATATTTGCTGAGTTATAGCCAAAGTCATGGTGCAGGCAAGTTTGTCCTCCCACTTAAAAGAAAGGGGCTCCATGTTTATAACCATCATATGAGCTGTATCAATCTTGTAAAATGGGCTTTCTCAAGATAGATGTGGGAGCTTGGAAGAGAGAATGGCCATTCTGGCTAGGGTGCATGCAGACACCTTTATTCACTGAAATAAAGAAGATCCTTTAATCAAACAAACAAAAGAAGATACTCCAGAGAATAAACAGCACGAAAACCAGAGCCATGACTAAAGAAGCCCAGTGGATTTAGATGGGTTTTGTGTGATAAGGCATAATCCATCTATTGAAATTGAATGTGATGGATTTTAATGCCAAGTTAGAGTTCAAATTCATAATTTAAATAATCGAGAGTAAGTGGAATATTTTGAGATGGGATATAACATTTTAAACACTAGTTTTGGAGAGCTATGGGACTTTGCAATGACTTCACTGTCTTTCTGCCCAGCAAACTTGTGTTTGATCTAGAATGCTTAGCTCAAATGTCACTCTTCTTCGAATATTCACTGACTGACCAGAACCCTGGTCATCACTTCTCTGGATTCTGAGGTGGCTACTGAGGACCTTCTTTACTCTGTTTCATATTTACCCTTCCATGAGCTCTTCTTCTCTCACCAGCCTCCTCTAGGGCAGGTCCATCTGTGTACCCAAGATCGATCAGAGTGGCTGACACCCACTAGGTGTGTGATTAGTAGGTGTTGATTGGCTAGGGGCTTCAGCTTGAGAAGCACTGGTGGAAATGGAAAAGAGATCATAGATAATAAAGAGATTGTGCAACAAAACCTTTTAGGACTTGGGAAAGAAGTACAATAGAAAGACAGGGAAAGGCTTTGAAAATGGTTTTTCAGCTTCTCTTGGTTGTAGTCTAGAAGTACAGGTGAAAAGATGATTTTTGGTTTATATACCTTGGGTTTCAAATGGCAGGGGAATATCCAGGTAGAAACATTTGGGGAAAGGTTGGAAATGCCAGATTCACAAAAAGAAAACACATACATTTGAACATTTTTTATCATTTTTATCTTTTAGGAAGGATTTCTACCTCACCCACCAAGAAAATATCACAGAAAAGTAAGGTGATTATTATTACATAACTTTCTACAAGTTCTCATCACATAATGGGTTTTACATGTGCAATATCTAATTTTGTAGCATCGCAGCTGGGTAATTACGACGTTTTCACCTCCCATAGTCCCCATCTAGCTTACAGGAAGGGGGTATGTGCCTTCAGAGTTGCTACTTTGAACAGTTGTATATAAAGTGTGAAGATAGAGTTTATCTAAAAAGCAGATTGCTATACAAAATTCAAAAATTATAATAAAGGCTGAAGAACTAAGAGGAAGAGGGGATGGTGGACCAGCTTGTCTACTGGTTATGGATATTCTCTGTTGACTACATGACTGATTTTCATAAGACATTCTTTCTTTTTATTTTCGCAAATGCAACTCCATGAAATTATATTGTCACAATGTTGATTTGCATGTACATTTTGTTCACAAACGTAAAAAACAATGGAACCTCCTTAATAAATGAAGAGATATCCTTTTCATACATCTGCCTTTGTGAAAGATAAACTTTCCTGAGGGCCAGCCCTACAGCACAGTGGTTAGGCCCTTCGCAGAGAAAGCTGGATCCCATACAACAACCAGGATTTGTGTCCTAGCTCCAATGGCTTGAAAAAACATGCTGTGTGTGCACACATGTGTGCAGTACTTTGATGAGTTGTAAAATTGAAGGAGAGTGGACTGTGACATGGCCATTCCCAATTGGGGATACTTTTTCCTCTCTCTCGTTCTCTCGCTCTCTTTTCTTTTCTTTTTTTAAGTAAGTCAATAAATGCTTTTATTTTCCTTTTTGTCTTTCCTTCCAAGGACTAATAATGTGTTTCTCACAGAAGATGGAAAAACTACTCCAATAATTAATTTTAGGCACCGTAGTCAAAAATGAAAGAGATAACCCAAATGTATCCTTTTTCATGGAGGCTAAAGGGTCTCTTCAGGTGTTCCATGTTAGTATAGGCTGGTCCAGTCAGCTTGCCACATCCTCTGGCTCCACACCCATGGATTCAACCAGACTGTCTCCCGTACTAAAATCTAAACGCGATAATCTGGAGACGATCTGAAGTGCACGGGAGGTTGTTCAAGGACTGTGCCATTGTGTACCTGGCACTGGACCAACTGCGGACCTCGGCGTGTGTTAGAGGTCCCAGAATCAATCCTGGGCAGATGCATTCCCTAGGAATTGCTTTCCTGCTTATCAGGTTGCTGCTTCTTCACCTCGATGAGAGTATCAAGGTTCCATGGTTTCATTTTCTGTGTTTTGTTTTGTTTTTTTTTTCATTTTTCTCGATGAGAGCTCATAAGTACATGCACCCAAGACACAGAGATGAGCATCCTCCACAGGGTCTGGCCATGCTGCAGCCCCCTTCCTCCATCACTGGCATGCCCACCAGGTTTCAGGTTCATTGGGCTGGGGATTCGAACTGCAGTCACCATGTAGGATCTGTCTTCTCTGTAACACGTTATTGCCGTGCTATGGAATTGGCCCTGTCCATGGTTTCAATGACCAAAAAGGGGTAGTGCAGTACAGCAAGTATTCTTGGTGCAAGTATTGGTGAGGCAGTTACCTTGTCTCTGTATTGTTCTCTCACTCTTGTTCTCTCTCTTCCTCTCTCTCACTCTCATGCACCTGCATATACACTCTGGCAATAATTTTTTTCTCAAGATCTCTGCTCTTTGGTCCTCATATGCAGTGATGACCCACTGCAGTTTGTAATTGTTCCCATCTGAAGACTTAGTTTGTCTAGCATGATATTTCACATGACAACACTAACAATACTGGACACGTGGAATCACCGGCCATACTCAAACCCATACACACATTGTGCTTTCTGATCTATTTCTTTATGAATATGGTTATAATACAACCATCATTAGTATACCTGAGTATTTACGCTTGCAAGAATATATGTTATTATTGCCTATTTTATTGCACAAAGTGGCTTAGGAAATGGTGTCATGTTTTTATATGTCTCTCAAATAAATCCCCTTTTAAAAATGTAAATGCACGTCTTTTAAAGATTTTTAAAAATTATTTTTTCCAGAACAGTATTTATGGTATCCCAGGATTCTAAGTCTTAGGGATTTTGATTTTTGGGGATATCAATATTAGGGATCATGACATTCAGGGTTATGGCTATTGGGATTAGTATCCCAAATCATCCCAAACTTCCCCTCCATGGTGTAGGCAGAACTTGAGCATCAGCAGAATAGGCAGGGTCAGACTGGCAAGTTCGAGGTGCGTACCTGTCATTCATCCTGTGGAGAAATACACACAGGGCAAGTGGGCCCTACACAGAGTCTCTGCAGCCATTCTTGAGGGAGTCACCAGGGTGCTGAGCTGGTTAGTACGGAGGTCATAACCACTTAGCAAGTCATGCGGCATTTTTACTCAAACCAGCCAGTGCTTGATAATGTGCAAACTATTCTGATCTAGGCCCCAGTAATTCTCTGCTTGCCATAGGACTGCCTGCCGTGGGGTCTGCAAAAATCACGAATGGCACCCCTCTCTAAACATAGTAGGATTTTTTCCACTACAATGAGATGTTTCAAACAAGGGCAGTCTTTTGCACAAGTGCAGGGGGCAGTGCCCACGTAGAACATCATGAGTAATGCTGATATGTGACACTGACAGAGAAGGGGCAGTTGAATAGCTGTCATACACTTTACCTCCAAAGCCATCTCCAGCAAGAGTTAGAGCTCTACACTGGTCTGACCCTCACCCAGCTGAGGGGGTCTCAGTGAGTCACCAAAGCCCTAGAGTTCAGTGTTCTTGCAGCTCATTTGGCATGGACACAGTCACTGAGGCTTAGGTCTACAGACCACAGTTGAGCGTCTATAGGAGAGGAGGGAAACTGATCTAGTAGGGGCTTCCTGACTCCTCTTAATAATCTTCTCTGGGACAGATATTAAAACCAACAGCAACAATGGCTTACAGTATCCCCGTGCCCTAAAAATAAGACTTTGCTCAGACTAAATCTCAACTTAGCCTGCACAATGGAGTCACCTGAAGAACTTTGGAGGAACCAGCCCTATGGGCCTACTGGTTAAGGGACTGGACCCCACATGGCCAACTGTGGTTCATATCCTGCCCTGGTGACTTAAAAACCATCCCAAGCAAGTGTGCATCTGTGCCAAGATCCCTACAGGATAGAGAAAGGATTGCAGCATGACTACAACCCGCTGGGGAGGTCCTCTCTTCTTCTCCCTCACCTCTGTCTTTCTCTCTCTCTCTTTCTGGCAACTGCACATGTCCTCTGACAATTGAAAAAAAAAATACCTATATTGTTGCCTGGATCTTATGCCTAGAGGAAGTTTTAATTTAATTAATTATCTGGACTACAGCTTGGACAATAGCTTTTCTTTTTTTCTATAAGGTACATGCACTCACCAAATAGAGACAGAGAGAAAGAGAGAGGGAAAGTGAAAAATCACCCCCCAGGGGGGATAGCCATGCTACAATCCCTTCTCCTCCATTCTCCTTTTGGGATTGTGGGCATGCACACTCATGTGTCTGGCATGATTTTCAAGCTGCCAGGTCTGGGACTCAAACCAGGCAGCCAGCCATATAGGATCCTGTGCCTTAACCTCCATGCCACCTGCTGGCCTTAGACAACAGGATTTTCACAAAGTTCCCAAATGATTCTGATACACAAAATTATCCATTCTTCTTCATGACTTAAAGAAGAATGCCAGTTCTTGTGCCCTGACCTGGGTCAGCTGATTCAGAATCCCTGGTGTTGCAACGAGGGCATTAGTATTTTATGTATTTTCTCCCCAGAAGATTCTAATGTACAACTGGGCTGAGAACCAAAGAGCCAGAGAACCAAATCTTTTGTTAAAAGGAGTAGGGGTGTAAGATTTTTTTTTTTTTTTTTTTTTTTGCAGAGGTTTTTCTCTATAGGGCGCGTGCGCTCGCCAGACAGACAGAGAGAGACATAGAGACAGAAAGCGAGAAATCATCCCCCAGGGAGAGTGGCCATGCCACAATCCCTTCTCCTCCATTCTCCTCTCAGGATCTTGGGCACGCACGCACACACGCCCGGCGTGAGTTTTAAGCCACCGGGTCCGGGACACGAACCGCGGTCGACTACGTGGGAGTCCAGCGACATAGCCATTACGCTAACTGCTGGTTCCCAGGGTGTAAGATTCTTAAACAGTTGTTACATTTGTTATTTCCTTGTTTTTCTAGGGTGAAGGATCATCACTATCTTGAGAATAATAATGAAAAGCCATGAATTTCTGCACTGAGGAGGAAAAATAATGACTTCTGGCTTCTGGCTACAGCAGTCTGAGATCCTAAATGGGGATGTGTTTGAGGATCCCAAATGGAAATTTTTGGCAAGAAGTTCCTCATGTATGATCCTTTTTAAAAATAAAATAAATAACCAGAATTCCAATTCACCCAACAGAAGTATTTTCACCTGAAAATCCACAACAAATCTCAAGTGGGTGCCAATTAGAATCTTTCCATCTTTGATTACTTTCTCTTTTTTGGGGGGGTAATTTTCTATAGAGGGCATGCACTCATAGGAGAGACAGAGACAGAGACAGAGAGGGAAAGTAGGAAAGCTTGTCCAGGGGTGGGATGGCCACGCAGCGATCCTTTCTCCTCAATTTTCCTCTTGGGATTTTGGGCATGAATTCATACAAGCTCAGCGTGGATTTCAGGACGCTGGGTCTGGGACTCGCAACGCATGGTCAGCTAAGTGGGATCCAGCTGCCTTGACCAGCAATGCCACTGGCTGGCTCATCTTTGATTGCTTTCTACACCAGGAGAAATAACGTGGGTAGATTCCAAATGACTTCAGTCCATTGGTTGCAGGAAGGACACTTCTGAGCTTTGCACATGGCTCACCTACGTGTAGCACCATCCCTCAGAAGCAGCCCACACTTTTATCTATTAAAGTGGAGTCTTAGGATCTTCCTTAGGGCCTTAGCACCCTTTATTCAGTGAACCTTACCAGGACAATGAAAACTGTAAAAGGAGCTAAAAGATTAGTGTCAGCAAGATTGGGGCTGCATTGGATTTGGGAGATCAGAGAAGGTAGAACCAGGATGGGTTCTCAGGTTTATGGAGTGGGGAGCAGGGAGAATAAGTTGGGGACAGAGACTCGGGGCAGGAAGATGAGTTAGATTTTGTCAGGAGGGGTTTGAGGGGCTTGCGGTGTGCTTTAAGAGCCCAGGAGATGGTGGATGAGCACAGGGCATGAGTGCAGGAGGGAGGTCGCGCAACCTGGAGCTATGGACGCGAAGATGTGACTGTAGCTTTGGGAGTGATTTTAATCCTCTGGGGCAGACGGATGGCCAAGGACAGAAACCTGAGAACGTCTATCCTTTAGAGTTTGGAGGAGGAGGGGGACTCAGAAAGGAAAGGATGCATTAATAGCAGTGAGGCTGACAGAGTAAACCCAAAAGGAGGGCGTGCAGACCAGATATCACTGGAGAGGGCAGACAGGGCGCCCGGCACAGGGGGTGGACCCCGTCGTCCCTGTCACCATCTGCTTTCTTGTTGCTCACATCCTTCAGCCCCCGTTCATCCATCAGCGAGGACCCCACGCCAATCTCACTTTTGTCACCAGATTGTCACAAGCAGGAGTTTCTCCAACCAGTGAACTAGACGGGTGGTTCTCTATGAAAGGAGAGCTGCTAGTCCTCAGACTGTCTCCTTTGTCTCAGAGAAGCAGCGAGGAAGACAGTGTCTGCACACGCCACGCAGATGCTTCCTGGTTCACGTGATAACGCTGGCTATCGGGGGAAATAAAAATCAGCCAAACAACGTGATGCCTGTTCTAATCACCCCACCTCACCCTGCTGCTGAAGGACGGAGTCCCTCCCTAGGGTTTTGGACATGGCTGAACACCGGACAGTTGAGACTGACAGCGGCTTATTACTCACACACACAGCCTGGGAGGAAGGGGGGCATTGCACACCACGCAGGGCCATGTGTGGGCAAGGGGGCGGGGAGAGTGTGCTCAGGAACAGGGTGAAAGTCCAAATGCTGTGGGTTGGGTGCCCCCTGGTCCCCGAGGACGGTCGTCATTGGCTCGGTTGAATAAATCCATGGCTGGAGGGGAACTAAAACCTGCTATTCAAGAACAAGCCCGAGTGGCATGTGGTCCCCTCGATAAGAAGACTGTTACACTAGGGGACCTCATCTGCTGGGGCAGAGCTAGGCAGGGCCTAGGGCAGCTCTCCCATGATGCACCTGACCTGGCATGTGAGAGGTGCCATCTCTAGTGACCAAGGAGGAAGTAACAGTGATCACCCAGGACTGAAGACGGAGTTCCTGTCCTTATTTTCTGGGCTTATAAAAGAGTTGGTGTTTTGGGACCAGCAGTTGATGTAATGGCTATGTCGCTGGACTCCCATGTAGTCAACTACAGTTCTAGTCCCGAACCTGGTGGCTTAAACTCACGTGTGCATGCATGCCCAAGATCCTGCGAGGAGAATGGAGGAGAAGGGATTGCGGCATGGTCATCCCTCTGGGGGGGTGATTTCTCACTTTCTGTCTCTCTGTCTCTGTCCTCCTGGTGAGCACACACGCTCTATAGCAAAACCTCTCCAAAAAAAAAAAAAAAAAAAAAAAGAGTTGGTGTTTTGTACTGTGAAAAGAAGGGATGCCATTCTTGGGGGAATCTGTGATTCCAGGCCCTCCCAATTACCCTGGGTGTCCAGGAACACCTAGCAGTGGGTTCTAACTCTAGTCCTGACACCACTTTTCTCTCGTGCAACAAAAGGCACAGACCAGATCCTCGTCACGAATGCACTCGTGCGTGTATGCAATACGGTGTAGGCATCCGGGTCTCTTTAAGTTTGCATTAGAGGTTCTGCTGGCTTCTAAGGACAGGGGTTACTCGGTACTTGCATACAAAGTGTCCAATATAAATTTCTCCAAATAAAGTGAATTGTGGCTAAAAGCTCCCCACATAGAGACCTGGGAGAAACCCAGTATCTGTTGATTTGAGTCCAGGGCAGGGAGTGGCTCCTCCTTTTTATATAACAAAACTCCAACTCCTTTATAAGCCCAGAAACTAAGGACAGGACCTCTGCCTTCAATCCTGGGTGAGCTGTTGTCACCCATTTGGCCACTAGAGACGGTGCCTCCACGTCGCGAATGCCAAGGCAGGTGAGACATGGGGAGCTTCCCCGAGGCTTCCAGAGTGAGAGCTCTGACCTCTGTGGCACCTGGTCATCTGTCCCCACCGTCCTTCCACCCTCAGGAAACCGTCACTGCCTGGGGCACAGATCCCAGGCCAGGACTTCCTCCCTAGGCCCTTTCTTTAACTCGTGAGGAAGTTTTGACTGAGAACATGGGATGGGGTGATAGCTCAGAAGCTCACTCATTGCATTTCATGCTCAATTTGTCTATTTGAGTTGCTGTCGGCAAATGGACTATTACTTCAAGACCTGGTCTGAGCCACAGGTAATAAAATTATTCAAATTCTTATAAACTCTTCGTCTTGATTCATTGCTAGTTGTTTTGTGCCCAAATGTCTGGCTTAATAAAGGAAACCTTTCTGGTCTGACACACAGTTCCTCCTGAACATCACTGCAGACTAGGATGTCTTCTCTGAAATCTTCCCTCCATGCTGTGTCCCCAGAGAAGCGCATACGTGTCCACATAGGTTCACATAAGGGCAATGTGTTCTAGATTTCCACCACGGCGGCTTTGCAGGCTCTCGCCAGCCCCAGTGATGTGGACATTGTTTTACCTTCCAGTGGGACACTCAGACAAATGTGAGGTGTGCCAGGCTGGAGGGCTGCAGTGCTACTGCAGGCCTCGCTGGAGCGTCCCCTGAGGACTGTCACATCCTGCCTGCGGAAGTTGAGAGGTTAGTGAGATGCAGTCCTGTCTCTCATCTCTCCTAGGGTCCCTTTCCCCTGCTGTGTACATTCCCCCTGTGGAATTCCTGCTTGCGTCTAGGTGGGAAAGGAGCTGGGCCCTCAGACCCTGGGATTTAGCGGTGTGATGGAGAGGGCGGTTTGAAGATCTAGCAGCAAGGAGTCCGTGCTCTTTGGACTGGTGAAGGTACCTCGTCTGGGACGCTGATGCAGGTGCCTGGGCCCCTTCATCTACATCCTATTTCTGTCCTTTCCTTGAAGCTTTGCACCAGGGACTATAGTCCAAGGGAGCTTAGGGATGGGCAGCACCAGGCATTTGGAAAGACAGGAAGTGTGCCTGGTCCCTCATGTTGCCATGTTCTCAATGTCCTGATGGTGTCCCTAGGCTCCAGGAGTCAAAGCCTAGTTTCTGAAGCTCAGGTTGGCAGGCAAGGTTCCTTACGATTGCAGCAGATGATGAAAGGAGAGCCCCTCACCTTCCTTGGACTGACCCTGCTCCCATTGATGAGAGGTTGACCCTTGGTACAAGACCTCATTTCAGGGGAGGTTTGGAACACTCTGAAGGGGTGAGCTGAGCTCATGGTTGCTCCTGGAATGAGGGCAGTGGCAGTCAGAGGAGCTGGTTGTCTCCAGAGCCCATGGCTTCTGCTCATCATGTTTCCAACCTCTCAGGTCCCTGTGGACTTGCATCTGCTGAGGAATTAATGAATTCCCAGAAAGCCAGCAGCGTCACCAGGAACCTGAGATGCTGGAGAGGCAGATGTGGCCTAAGGAGCAGTTGGTGAGTTGGTTGCAAACTCTGAGCCTGCTCCTTTCCCTTCTCACATGAGATGCACAAACAGGATCAGGGAAGGACACCCGAAGGGCCGCTTTTCCAAGCCAAGCTTCACTGATACTATACTGATATAAACCACCAAAACTTGTTTACAGAAAAAATAACTCAGTCATTGCTTGTCTGTTTCCAAGAGTCACACATGTTTGGGGAAATTTCCAGAAGATAGGTGTGAGTCATGTCTTCTGTCTGGGCATGCATATGGCTCATTTCCCCCAGGATGCTTTTCATTTACTGCCTTCTTCTTTTGCAGATACATGAATTCCTACTGTGGAAGGTCTCCTGCTAACCTGACAGCTCCTTTTTTTTTTTTTTTTTTTTTGCCAAGATTCCGTGTTATTATTATGTAACTCACAACAGAAAACCATGACTATAGACCATCATGACAACATATGACCCCCAAAATGAGACTTAAGACTTTTTTTTTTTTGGCATGTATGCTAGCTAGACAGAGACTGAAAGAGAGAGTGAGAGAGAAAATGAGAAATCCACCAGGGAGGATGGCCATGCTGCAATCCCCTCTCCTCCATTCTTCTCCTGGGATTTTGGGCATGCACACACATGCAACCAGCATGAATTTCAAGTTGCAGTGTTGGGGACTCAAACTGCAGTCAGCCATGTGGGAGTCCAGTGCCCCATAACCACTACACCACCTCTTGATCCGAGATTTATGATCTTAATTCCACAGCAGTGAAAGCACAGACTTGTT